CAGCAATCTTGTACCAAAATCTTGATGATGGTAATGATGATGATGATAATTATAATGGTGATAATAATAATAATAACAATAAGTAAAGTAAAACAAAATATATTACATATGTACATGCACACACATCTTAATAATAAATTTACCTTTGTAAAGTGTTGATCCACCAGACAACACAACATTTGCAAATAAAGACTTTCTTAAATCTAAATCTACTCTATTAATTGAATCAACAACAACTTGGTGAACGCCTGCATACTCTTCTCCAATCAATTCTGGATTGAATAAGATTTCGGGTGCTTTAAATCTTTCAGTTTTCAACTATTACAGTATTGTAATAAATTATAATAATAAATAGCTTTAAAAGTTGGTTAATTAATTCCAAAAAAAAAATTGTATACATTTATTTACCTTGACAACATTACCATCAGGCAATACATAATCACTAAATTCTCTACTGGTATCTTTTTCTTCTTTATTCGGATTTATTGCAACATAACAAGTCTTTTCTTTTATGGTACGTACGACTTCTTTTTCTGCAGTGGTATGAAAATTATAACCAGATCTACGAAGAAGTAATTGTAAATATTCTGTAACGTCACTATAAAAAAAATTTTTTTTTTTTTTTTTGAGAAAAGAGAAAGAAAGTCAGTCATATAATGATAATTATAGTAACAGTAAATAGTGTTGATAATGTTGTTGATTGATAATGTGCTAATATTAATAATAAATAGAAATATAGTAATATTATTAATAATAATACTTTACCGGCCTGCAATATCAACTCTACGAATAGCATGAGGAAGAGCAAATCCTTCATATACTGGTACAGCATGAGTTACACCATCACCGGAATCAAGGACTATACCAGTTGTTCGACCTGAAGAATAACTAACGTAAAAATTTTTTTTTATAAACAAAAAATTTTCAACTTTTTTAAAAAAAAAGATTATCTCTTTCTCTGCATCTATACTTACAGACTCAAGACAGCTTGAATTGATGTGAACAAAGCTGGTGCATTGAACGTTTCAAAAAACATTTGTGCAGCAGAATCTCTATTATTTCTTGGATTAAGTGGAGCTTCAGTCAAAAGGACTGGATGCTAATAAACAGAAACCATTGTAATTAAATGCATGTGTTTGTTCACGTTATTATATAATAATAATAATATTCATACTTCTTCTGGAGCAGTTTTTAATTCTTCCTCATAAATATATTTCCATATACGTTCCATATCGTCCCAATCAGATACAATTCCATGTTCAATCGGATACTTTATTTTGAGAAGTCCTCGTAACTCTTGAGCTTTACGTCCAATAAAAACATCACCTTCTACAGCACCTGCCATAATACGTACATGTTTTGGACGTCCAACACTTTTTTTTTAAAAATTCAAATATTATGTTTTCTTGAAATACATACATATATATAAAAGTCTTATTTGAATTTAATAAATAATGCATACTATGAGGGAATAAGACATTTTGGTTGATCATCACCGGCGAAACCAGCTTTAATCACCCCAGAGCCCTTAAGAAGAATAACAAAATGAAATAAGAAAATTATTCTACCATTACTTATATGATATACACATCTCTTTTATATACATACATTATCGATTACAACAGGTTGATTAGTCAAAACGTCCTCGTATTCCATATTTGCTTGTTTTTTTTTTTGTTTGTCTTTTTTTCAATTTTTTCAATGTAATACACAGAATTAGGAGATCTATAAAGTTTGAACTTGCGGAAAAACTGTGCAATTATAATTTTATAATTTGCTCAATGTGCGTGTTGCACGAATTTCTATGTTTTATATAAAGAAAAAAAAAACTTGAGATCATATAAATGGCAACTCAACAAATAAGTAACCCCTCACCTCCAAAACCATGGGAAAGAGCTAATAATAATAATAATAACAACAACAACAACAATAATAACCCCAACCAACTTGCAATTTCTAGATCTACACCATCAAATTTACAAGGTCCTCCTATATTAAATAGTTCTACTACAACCAACAATTACAACATCAATAATAATGATTCAACACCAGTTGTTCCGCCCAGACCTACTACTACATCAATGAATACTGGTACAACAAATAGAAGTAAGTTTATTGAAATCAATTAAATCAAATATAAATTAATATTAATTAATAATCAATTAATCATACATAGATTATGGATCTTATGGTACAGGATATTCACCATACTCTAGTTATAACTCATATGGCAGCTCGTATGGCGGCTCGTATGGTAGCTCGTATGGCAGCTCGTATGGTGGTGTTTATGGGTCACCATACTCTAGGTATGGAAGTTATTCATCGCCATACAGTAGATATGGTTCATATGGTGGTGGATATGGTGGATATGGCTCTTATAATTCATATGGTTCACCATATAATCGCTTTGGTCATGGTAGTGGCGGTGGTGGAATGATGGGACCAGGTGGACCAGATGAAATGTCACTTACACAACGAATGGAGGCCAATACAGCAGCAGGCTTTCAAATGATTGAGTCAATAGTGAATGCATTTGGTGGATTTGCTCAAATGTTGGAATCAACATATTTTGCTACACATTCATCATTTATGGCAATGGTTGGAGTTGTTGATCAATTTGGCAGTTTGAGAAATTATTTGGGTCAAGTTTTAAGTATTTTTGCATTGATTAGATGGATAAAGCATTTATTTTACAAACTGACCGGTAGACAGCCACCAGTTGATCCTAGTAATTTGAATGTGGCTGATTATCAACAATTTCAAGAGCAACGTAAATATTCTCGACGACCTTTATTATTTTTTGTAATTGCAGTTTTTGGATTACCATATCTTATGCATAAATTTATACATGCTTTCTCTGCTGGTAGACGTCAACAACAGCAACAACAAAACTTATCATTTGATTTAGCAAATTCTTCTTCCAAAACTATTCTAAATGATAATATTAATGATGTTGGTAGTAGTAATAATAATAATAATTTATTAGCCAATCTTGAAATGTGTCAAGCAACTTATGATTTTAGAGGGGAGTCACAGGTTGAATTAACATTCCAGCGTGGTGATATAATTGCTATTTTGAGTAAGGTAGATATGTGGGGACAACCTTCTCAATGGTGGAGAGGCCGTTTAAGAAATGGGGAGCAAGGATTGTTTCCAGCTAATTATGTAGAAATCATTAAGAAAGAAGATAATATTAACAATACTACTACTGCTATTAAATAAATTATTTACTTTTATGGACTTAAGAATTTCTATTTAGGCTATTTATATAATTCATATAATTTATATTTTATATATTATTTGTATATTTATTATATATTATGGAGTTAACGAGGAGTGGAGAAAAAGGAGAATGCATTGTTTACAAGTTGATAAATAGATTAAAAATATATATACCTAGTGTGTATATATAGATTTCTATCATATCCCTAATTAATCTTATTTTTTTTGAGAAAGAATGCAATATATATACACGTGAATCTATTTTAAAATTATAACAGTCTATTCTTAATTGAATATCATATTTCGCGTTTTATAATAGTGGTCACGATCATAGCCAACTGTTGGTCACAGATTTTGAATAAAGTGTGCACAGTTAATTATTATATTTTTGAATTGTACATTTTTCTTTCATGGACTTTACAAAATCTGATTACTTTCCTACCCTACATATAAAAATTTCTATGGAAATTCTGGTAAATGCATCAGGAAACTTTCGAGTTTAAGGATTCCCCCAAATTTTTATTAGTAGGGATCCTTCGCCGCCCGCGAAGAACCCTTGAAAAATATCCCCGAAGATTCCTTGATTTACTATTAGGGATCCTTTAAGGATCCTTCTATATTCAACTAGAAGGGGAAGCAAGCAAAAACTAATGGTAGTATTAAAAGCGTAGAAGAAAAGTTTTGACTTTGCTTGTACGAATTGAAATTTTTAAACAAATCCAATTTCAAATGTCATTAATATTATTATTAACATTAAATATTAAGAGGGTAGAAGAAAATAGTGATATTATTATTATGTTAAATACACATTATAACATTTACTTTCAATTTCAAAGTGGTATATGGATTCAATTTGTTAGTTCTCATGTAGTGAAGTAAGATGTAATGTATTTGTAAACGAATTAAATAATAATTAACTTGGAAAACCAACCAAACCTTTTTAATTTACTATTGATTTAAACATGGTTGGATGGTGGTGTGTTTGAGGGTATTTTTTTATCCAGGTATATGTTACGAAATTAATTCAAAGGGAAATAAAATTTTATTATGAATATATAAAATATGGATTGAATAGAACAATTAATTATAAAAATTATAAATTACTAATTCAAAACTTTTCTTCGATTACGTCAAGTTTAAAGAACATTAGAATCTTAAATTTTTTGTGCTTTAGAATCTCCCGCATTTTTAGTTACTATTTTGACGTTTGGTAAGCTTTCATAATGATGATGATGTTTTTGACAATCGTGATGCTAAATTTTATCCCAGAAATCAAAAACTGTTTTCGATTTTTTTCTATAAAAAATTACAAAATTTTTAACAAAACAGGTTTATAAAATTTTTTAACAGTGAAAAGGTAAGTTTCTTTCGTTCCATACTATTTTTAGCAGACTAAAATTATATTTTCTTGTAATAATTTTTAGGGACCTTACTTAACCAAGTGAACTATTTGTAGTTGACACCCTAATTTTACAATCAAAGAAAAATTTTTTAGAAATTTATGTAATTGAATATATAAATATTAAATAATTGGTGCAAATATTCCCAAAAAATACATTTTAAAGAGTCTTAATTTTTTTAATTTTTTGACAAATGGCACACAAATCTGATCCAAACAAGCAAGGATGGGAAGAATCTGTAAAGTTTTAACAATTCAGATCAAAAAATAAAAATAGCTTTTTTCTTTGGTTGTCATTCTATTTATTTATTATTATTTTTTATTTTAGGAATTTCCAATCCTTTGCGAAACTTGTTTGGGAGATAACCCTTACGTTCGAATGGTATGTATTACCTATTGTTATTATTTACATATTCATTTTAAATTTTTGACTGATGAAACTTTTTTTCTTAAAGACTAAACAATGTTATGGTAAAGAATGTAAAGTGAGTTTTTTATTTTTTTGACTTTTAAAATTTATTTCTTCGATTATTTATTGTTTTTATTGGTTTTTGCGATAGGTGTGCTCTCGTCCTTTTACAATTTTCCGATGGCTTCCTGGTGCTGGAATGAGATATAAAAAAACAGAAATATGTCAAACCTGTGCAAAATTAAAAAATGTCTGTCAAACATGTTTATTGGATTTACAATATAATCTTCCAGTTCAAGTTCGTGATACTGCTCTTAATGTTACTAATGATGCGCCTAGATCTGATATTAACAGAGAGTACTTTGCACAAAATATTGAAGGAAAGGTTGGTGATATAAAATTATTTCTTTTTAAATGAATTTAGTTATTTAATTTTTGTTTCTCCATCAATTAATCACTTTTTGTTATATAAGATTTCGGGTCCAGAAAGCCTTATAAATTATGGAAAGGCTGATTCAGCAGGAAAAGACATGCTAAAAAAATTAGCTAGAACAGAACCTTATTACAAACGAAATAGACCACATATTTGTTCATTTTATGTTAAAGGAAACTGCACACGTGGCGACGAATGTCCTTACAGGTGGGTAATTTTTGATTTGAGTGATTTGCTTTTTGGGTGACAGTTTAATTATTTAACCTGTTTTTATACACGATTGTTTTTTGGTGGGAATAAAGGCATGAAATACCCGAAGAAAATGAGTTGTCACATCAAAACATTAAAGATAGATATTATGGAACCAATGATCCAGTTGCCAAGAAAATGCTTAATCGGGTAAAAGGTGGTGGTGGTTCAAACATTACCCCTCCTGAAGATAAAACTATAGTATGTTATCATTGATTCATTTGCTCATGCTTTTCCCACAATACAATATAATAATAAAATTTAATTTTAATTAGTGTAACATTAATATAAAAATATATTTTAGACTTCATTATTTATTACAGGAATAGAAGATGACATTACAGAATCAGATCTAAGGTATAAATTGATTATTTCATATTATCTTTTTATTACATTATTTTTCTAATTTTTTTTTTCTTGCTGTTCAATTAATTTTTTTAGGGGGCATTTTTATGCTTTTGGAGAAATCAAATCAGTTGTAGTTGTACATAAATCAAAATGTGCATTTGTTAATTATGCAACCAGGGCTTCAGCTGAACAAGCAGTAGAAAAATCACATAATAATTTAAATATTAAAGACCATGATTTGAAAATATCTTGGGGTAGACCAAGACCTACAGGGCCTAAATCAGAAATAGAAGCAGTTACTGTATCTCAAGGGCTTATTCTGCCGCCACTTGAATCAATACAAATTCCAGCACCACCTAGTCAAACTGCAGCTGGTATCGTATATCCAAGTCAAGGTAAACATCTGCTAACTTATTATTATTATTTAAAATGATTGTTTCATTAAGAATTTCAATAATGATAAGAGTTTTATTCTTCTTCTTCCTAGATCCAACTTACCAGGGTTCGACAAATAAAAGTTAGAATGTACAAATGTACGCATAAAAATGAGATCATTAAAGCTATTCATTTTTTCTATATTCTGTCTGTTTTAAAAAGATCAATCAATTTTTTACAATACTTGGCTTCAAAGTTTGTGTGCGTTTATTGGTAATATTATTTATTACCAACAATGCTGAACAACTTCTCACTAGGAGCTGAGGTTGGTTAGTTCTGAAAGAATTGTAGAATCCCTTTTATGCTCATTCCACCATTCAAATGAGTCATCTAAATATCTATCTGTCAATTTCACCCAAATTTTTATTAATGTTTGAGTTGTTATTATTACATTAAAAAGTAATCCCTGCTGTGATTTATCACTAGCATTTTGTGCATCTTGAACTTCCGATGAAGTTTCATTTAAAGAAATTAAATTTTAAATTCGATTTTTGCATCAAGTTTTTGAAATGTTTATTATATCTTGAGTCCAACATTCACCACAGGAAGTCGGAATATCAAACTCAGAGAGCTCCAAAAGAATGATTCTCATAAAAAAACTTGAGGGAACAAAACCTGGCATATACAGTCAACCCCCTCTAAGTGCACCCCCCTCGGGAATGAGTGATAGCGTGCACTTAGAGGGGGTGTGCACTTAGAG